GGCAAAATATTTTTTATGGTTAACCATTTTTTATGGAAAGCTATTTTTTATGGTAAACCATTTTTAATGGAAAGCTATTTCTTTATAAAAACTTGTTTTTTTATGAAAACCTGTTTTTTATTCAAATCATCTTTTCAATGTATGTAACATTGAATAAAGGCCAAGAAAAGAGTATGAAGAATAAAATGGTCCCAAGAAACGGGCAGAATTTGCAGCTCATTTTCGAATGCTTTCCTTTAACAGAGACAAACAAATTGTTACACAATACATACGCATCGAAAGAAGGACATTATACACACACACACACAGCAAATAAACTAAAAACAAATACGTAATGAAAATTTTCATTTAGTTACAATTTGTAACGGTAATAAATATTTTTGGCACATATGGATGTACTGATAAATACCTACAAACGCACATTGCATACAAATACATATGTACAAAGTGTCCGCTATGCAATTAACATGCGCATATATCAGACACATAACAAAAACAATACCAATAGCACATTAAAAAGGTGAAAAAATACTATACATATACACCAATAGCAAGTGTATATGAAAAAGCCTACAAAAATCCACATACATACATACGTGTACGTACGAGTGTGGTGTGGAGTTATACATGTGTGTAGCAATGTTGCTTTTTAATGGCAAGGGAAGAGCACAGGCAATTTAACCCTTTCGTTACACCAGCAAAATGCATATATGTATGTATATACTAGTACTAGTAAGTATGCATGCATGTACATATACTATATACTAAGCGCCCTCCATTACACATGTGCTTTTTTTGGCTTTTGTTTTCATCTCTTTGGTGCTTGCCACAAGCAATAGGCAATTGATGCGTGAGAGATGAGGGTGCGCTTAATATCGATTGTTGTTAAAGTCGATTGTTGCAACGATAACGAGTATTGCGAAGGCAACAAAATAATAACCAGCATTAAACCGAAATTATGCATGATTGACTGTGACAGTATCAGGATTGTAAACGTTATCCACATTTTCAATCACAAAACTGTCAGAGAAACTTTTTTAGTACAAAATATCATCTTTCTAACACCATCTAGCGGTACCCGATCGGACTTATACGACACGAGAGATGGATAAATAACGGCATCTATTGGAAAAATAATGGATTTCTTTTTACTACATCAAACATATGTATGTATAAGTACATATATGAAGATAAAAAAAACAAGAAGGAAGAGTTATCGTCTTCGGTCTTTACACTTTTCGCAAACATATTAATTTTGTGGCATTTAATTTTAAAATTGAATATTTATTCTTATATCAGAAGGAATCGGTTGTAAGGTGGCTATATGATATAGTCCACCGATTTCGATGATTTTTGGTGTCAATATTTATGTATGTATATGTGTGCAGAATACCAAATTTTACGCTCTTAGCTGCTTTCTTTGATGGATTTTTGACTTAAAACCTCAAATCTGAACAAATCGGTTGTATGGTGGCTATATGATATAAAGCTCCGATTACAATGAGTTTTGGTAACAATATTTATCTAAATGTTCGCGTGTAGAATATAAAATTTTAAGCCTTGAGATGAGTTTTTTGATGGAGTTTTGACTCAAAACCTGGAATCTGAACAAATCGGTTGTATGGTGGCTATATGATATAGTCCAACGATTTCGATGATTTTCGGTGTCCATATTTATGTATGTATATGTGTGCAGAATACCAAATTTCATGCTCTTAGTTGCTTTATTTGATGGCATTTTGGCCCAAAACATCCTAACTGAACAAATCGGTTGTATGGTGGCTATATGATATAGTCCCCCGATTTCGATGATTTTCAGTGTCAATGTGTATATGTATATACATATGTAGAATACCAAAATTCATGCTCAAAGCTACTGGTTTGATTGCTTTTCTACCCAAAACCTCACAACTGCACAAATCAGTTTTATGGGACCTATGTGTTTTAGTCGTCCGAACTACCGGGTTCCAACAGAAGATAAATAGTGCATGAATCTATAAAGTTTGACTGTGATATCTCAAAACTTGAGGCACTACTTTGCGTACAAACAGACTGGCAGATATGAGGAAGGAACGGACATGGCTAAATCAACTCAGCTGGCCACTCGGACGCTTTCGGTTGAAATTTTGCTGGTTCTATCTCGACTTCTGCTGGTACTTATATACTTCAAAACAAAACTAAAATCGCATGCATCTCATGCTCATGAAAGTTATAAAAAGCGCATCGAAAAATCCTTCGATAATTTTCCCCCTTCTCTACTGCGAAATCAACCCTTCTGTTACGCACACGAAAAGTCTTCAACGCATTGTCACCATTGATTACCTTAGAAAAGCGTAAAGAAGTAATAATATTAAAATCAACATAATTACTTGTATAACACGCCACATATGTGGAGGTTAAACTCTAGTCATGGGTGGGTTAAGGGACATACATATGCATGTATGTACATATGTATGCATTCCTCGCTATAGACTCTTCTGCGAGAAATTCAATTATTTAAACGCTTAAACATTCGACAAACTTAATAATGTCATCAGTTATGCTAAGCATATAAATAACGAAGGAAGGCGCAAGAAAGAGGAGCTGAAAAAATACTGTTATCCTGACGAAACAGGTGCACTCAGCTCAGTTGTAGCTGCTCTTATTTCTTGTCTTATTTCTATTAGAAAGCTGAAAAGTACTTTGCAAACAAAGCAAAGAAAAGTGCATTTTTTCAGCTATTGGCTCTTCAAATATTTGTTGTTGTTGTTGTTGTTGTTGTGGAAAAAAGCCAATTAAAAAAATTCAACAATAGCCTTTCAGCAGCTTTTGTTTGAAGACACTTTCTTTGCTTCATTTGTTGCATTTCTTGTTGTTGTTGGTTTTTTTTTTGCTTTCCGCTTTCTTAGTTGACAACACTTTTCACCATTTTTTTCTTGGCGAATTTAATTACCCCACTTGTCAGTTTGTTAGCGCTACTGTCGGCATGTTAATGCACTTGACGTTAAGTAAAGGATGTTGCTGCTGTCCTTTCGCTTTTCGTATTTTTCTCAGTAAGTGACTACCCAAGTGGGGTAGGCTGGAAGATAGCTGTCTCTTGTCTTGCGTTTAGAGACGTTTCATATGGAGCTTCTTAGATAACGTCAAACAATTTGAAGTCTATACAGCTTCCGCACAGACCAAGTTGTACTTAAGGAATACAAGAGAGAGATTAGAAGTTGTAGGGGAAGAGCTTTTGCGGCGAATTAGAAAAGATAACCGAGGTAGCCAGTCTAAGGAATTAGCTAACCAAGAAGCCGACCACTCCAAGGTCACTACACCTACCCAAAAAACGAGTATAGTGGACTGAGAATGAGTGAGAACGCCGATCAAGCTAACAGACTTTTTCCGAGGTATGCAGGCAGCTAAGATTTCCAACATTTAAGAGTTGGACTTCGAGAACGTTATCCCCAACATCGTAATGGAAGAATAAATATGCCGTACAAGCGACGTCTTCGCACCGTTAAAGTTTCTGGGCGCAGACGATATCATTCCAGCGATGATGCAAAGAATTTCCGCAGCGCTGACAACAGACTTGAGAATAATATACAGGGGATGTTTAGGATTAAACAATGTGTCTGTCTTTTGGAGAGGGGTGTGGGTCGTGTTCATACCCTTAGATGTGTAAAGGCGAGTCCACTCTAGAATACAGAACAATTAATCAAAATAACTTTCTTCTAAAGACACTCGAAAATATTCTAGAAGCTTACATTAGGGATGAGCTGCCATCGGCTGGTATATCAAAGGCGCAGCTTGCTCATTTGTAGTGTAGATCCTCAAAAGCGTGAAGTGGAACGGAAACAGACAGGTCAGTGTAGAAGTCGGTAGAAGTTCCCCAGAGAGGTGTTCTGTCACCGCCCCTGTGGTTACTCGTAGTGAAAGAGCTACTCCGTAAATTTGAAGCAAAAGCACCCAGACCAATTATCCATGCGGATGACAAATCAATATATTTTTTACCAGCGGTAACGTAGTGCGTAGCACCCTAAGAATCATACATCGATGGGCCAGAGTTAAAGTTAGATGCTGGCAAAATGAATGCGTTACGGTTTCAAAAAAGATACCAAATCTCTGCGTGTAAGGCTCCAAAGCTTAACAGATTTCAACTATCAATCAAGGGTTCCACCAAGCATCTGGGGTTTTCACAGCAAACTGAACGGAAAGCTGAATGCAGAGGAAAGGGTAAACAAGCCAGTGCTGCCTTTTACCACATAGAGCCTATCCGCTGGACTCAAGTATTGGTGCTGCACAACTCTACAGAGCTCTGATGTGATGGATCTTTAGCAAAATCCAATTGAAGTCCTTAGCTGAAATCTCCTTCAGGCAGAGCTGGTTATGCAGTTAAATGTAGGACAAAATAGACCACATACCCGCAAGCTTCATCCGCGAAAGTAGGTTTCAGAGCGGATGACTCAGGTACACACGACTCGCCATGGCAACTGTACGGCTGGATCGACAGTGTCTGATGGGTGTTTCTATTGGATTCTAGATAGATAAAACCGTCAACAACATCAAAGTTATGGTTGCAACCGCGAGGGGAGATCCAAAACGCGAAGGCGTTGACTGTTTTTGTTCGACGTATGGTTATATATATTTTTTCTTATCTTTTTTGTGTAGCAGCACCGTACCCCGATGACCCGAAAAAAAAAACGTTCAAAAAGTGTATTGATCATATAGCGTTCAAACCAGCTGAGAGCTTGGATGTCTTCGGTAAATGCATAGACCATAACGCATTCAAGCCAGAGGAGAATTGGGATGTCTTCCATGTATCCAACACATGTACACAAAAAGCCTTTTCTCCACAGATTTTGATACAGTTAGTGAATGTTTGATCCAAAACGCTTTCAAACCTAATGATAACAGTTATATTTGCAATGACTGTTTTGACGAAAATGTGTTCTTGGCTAACTCAGATTTTGAATAAACCAAAACAGTTCTGAAGCAGTGCTTTTATGTAGCTATGTAATTTGTAAGAGTTTTCTTACCAGCTAAACAACCGCCGGGCATGCCAAAGCTCTTTACTTGGGAGAAGCCTGGAACAAAAAGAATGCGTAGGCGTCAGTTTTAAGCTTTAATTAGGTACTAATATATGTATGTATGTATGTACAATATAAGAAATTATATTAAAGATTTGAATAATTGTCAATTTTGGAAGCGTTTTTTTTTTGTTTAAATGGAATAAGTGCTTTAAATTGTTTATTTTTCTTTATTTTTAGTTATTGATATTGTCACTTGATACTTAAGTTGTTGCATACACACATACTCATACATACATTTGTATGTGTGCATATTCTCGCCTTTGATCATTTGTTGTATCGGTTATTTGACAAAACAAAAATTTTGATATAGCTAGCTGAATATGCAATATATATGTATATATATATGCATATATACGTTTCTATTATCCGAAGCAAGCAAATACATCTTATTCATTATATTAGCGTGAATTTTTTTTTACTCTTGAAAGCAATTTTGAAATAACCACTTATTTTGTGTTCACATTCAAAATTAGAACTTTAAGTGCCCATTTTTCTTTTGATATATGAGTAGCGAGCATAATAGCCTTGTTCGTAGCGTTATTTCTTAATTGTGGTTAATTGAATATTTGGCAACAAACTCAAAAAAAAACAAAATAAGTAAAAAAACTAAATAAAATAAAACAAAAATTTAAAAGACTAAAAAAAATTAACAATTAACAAAAATAAATAAAAAAAAAAACAATTAATAGAATTTACAAAAAATGAACTAAATATAACTTAAATAGAAAATAAAAAAATGAAAAAAAAATTATTAAAAATTAATTTAAAAAAATTTTAAATATGTAAATAAAAATTAAAGACAAACTATAACAAATTTATTAAAAAGAAAAAATAATAAATGAAATTAAAATTAAAAAAATTAACAATAATAAACAATTAACAAAAATCATAATTAATTATTTGAAATAAATAAAAATAAAAATTAAAAAAAGTTGAAAAAAAAATTATTAAAAATAATTTTCAAAAAATTTAAAATATGTAAATAAAAATTTAAAATACAGTAAACTATAAAAAATTTATATAAAATAAAAAATCAAAAATTAAAAAAATTAATAATAATAAACAATCAACCAAAATCATAATTAATTATTTCAAATAAATAAAAATAAAAATTAAAAAAAAAATAAAATATAATACTTTAATTAAATAAAAATTTAATCATAATAAATAATTAATAATAAATAATTAATAATAAACAATTAATATAAATTAAAATGAATTAATTGCATTAAAAAAATCGAATGAAAAAATAAATATACTTTGATTAAAATTTAAATACAAAATTTACAATAAATAAAATTAAAAATTTAAATAAAAACTGGTAAAAATAATAAGAAAAAGAATTAAATAGTAAAAATTAATAGAAAACAATTAAAAATAAAAATCGAAAGAATTTTAACCGGAAATTTGATTTTTGTTCAAAAAATATAGTAATAAAAAATTAATAAATAATAAAACATAATTGAAAAAAAATTAAAAAAAAAAGAATCGAAAAAATTTTAGAGGTGGATAGTTAACGGAAAATTTATATTTTCTTTAATAAATATAGTAATTAAATATGATTTCTTATTATTCAATTTATTTCGGCTCGATAACTTCTCAAATAAACCAATAAATAAAATTAAAATGAAGTAAATAAAATAATATTTAAAAAAGGATAACAATATATTAAAACTAAACAAAAAAAAAATAATTCTGAATAATTTAAGTATTTTTAAAATTATGAAAAAACATATATAAATGGAATTGGAATGGAATGTAAAAATATTAGAAACAAAAGAAAATTAAGCAAAACTAAAATTAAATTAAAATAAAAAATATACAAAAACTTAAATTATAAATAAAAAAAACTAAAAAATTATGTAATTAAAAATAAAAAACAAAACATTATATTAATTTAAAAAGAATTTGAATTTGGAAAAAAATGAAAATGGTTTCAAGGAAAAAAGAACATTAAAATTAACAAAAAGCAAAAAAAAAAATTAAAAAAAATAAATATTTAGAAAGAAATAGATTTTAAAGATAAAAAATATTTAAAAATAAGGAACCGCAAAATTAAGCAGAAATTAAAATAAAATTCAAATTGAACAAAATAATGAAATAAAATTAAATTTAACAAAAACTAAATTAACTTAAAAACAATAAAAATAAATTAAATAAGATCAAGAGGAAATAAAAATAAAGTTAATGAAAATATTTAAAAAAATTGACAGAATTGCAATTAAGAAATAAAATTTGAAAATAAAAAGAAAATATATTAAAATAAAACAAAAATAAAATAAATCTAAAATAATAATGAAAAAAATGTAATTAACAAATTTAATTTAATTTAAAATTAGGAACATATTAATTAAAAATAGAATCAAGAGAAAATAAAATTAAAATTAATAAAAAAAATTGAGAAAAATAGAGTTGAATTGAACATTAAAAGAAGAAAGCATATATTAAAATAAAATTATGCCGTAATAAAATAAAATAAAAGCAAAATATTAAAACTAAATTAAAATTAACCAAAAAGGACAAAATTAAATTAAATTAAAATTAAGAAAATTTAAAACAAAATAAAATAAAGAAAAAATAAAACTTTAATTAAAATTAATAAAACGAAATTTAGAAAAATTAAATAAATATAAAATTAAGCGTATGAAACTTTATATTAAATTAAAAGTAAGCTAAAAAAATTAGTTAAAAAAATAAATCAATCATAATTATAAGTGGTAAAAAATAAGATTTCATTAATATCAGGAAAACATAAAATTAAATTAAAAACTGTAAAAATAAAATCAAATAAAATAACGAAAAAAATATAATTATATTAAAATTAACAAATAAAAAATTAAATTACATTAAAACTAGAGAAAATAGCAGGAAACTCAAAAAAAAGATATAATAAAAATTTGGAAAAAAATACAAAAAACAGAAATTAAACAGAAATAAAATGAAATTTAATGAAAATTAGCAATAAAAATTAAATTAACAAAATAATTTAAAAATTTATTTGCATTAAATTAGAAAATAATAAAATAAATTTGTTGTTAACGAAAATTAAAATTAAATTAAGAAAAATTAAACTTATATTGAAATGAAGAAAACCTGAGATATAATTAAAACCAGGAAGAAACTAAAGTTAAGCAAAAAATAAAAAATTAATTGAATTAAATATTGTATAATCCAGAAAAAAATTTTATTAGAAAAAATTAATTATATTACAAGTGTCTAAAAATAAAATGCAATTTTTATTAGGAAATAAAATTAAAAATTGGAAAAAATATATGTATGTATCTAAAATTCAACAAAAATAAATTGAAATTAAATGGAAAATAAAAAAATTAATTAACAAAAAAAAATTTAACTAAATAATTAAATAAAAATTGTGAAATATTTCAAGAAAATTACACTTAACAAAAACTAAAATTAAATTAAGCTAAAAAAATTATATTAATACTAAAATAAACTAAATAACTAAATAAACTAAATTTAAAATGAAACAGGAAATAAAAAAGGTAAATTAAATTGAAATTAAGCTTTAAAAATGAATTAGAAAATAATGATATAATTATATTAAAATTAACGAATATTAAAATTAGAAAATTTTAATTAAGTTAAAACAAAAAAATAGAGTAAAAATTAAGGAAATAAAATAACAAAAATAACAGAAAATAAAATAAATAAATTTAAAAGAAAAATATATACATCCAAAAATAAGCAAAAATTAAATTAAATTAAATGGAAATTAAAAAAATTTAATTAACAAAAAAAAATTAAAAACTAAAAAATTAAATTAAAAATAGGAAAAAATTCAATAAAAATATCGCTGAAAATAATAAAATAAATAAATAAAATTTAAAAGAAATATTAGAAGAACCCATAAAATATGATTGGAATAAGAAAAAATAATATTATTCAGAAAATATAAATAAAAATAAAATTAAGAAAAAAAAATAATTAAATTAAAATTAGAAACAAAAATTAAATTTAGAATAAGAACAAATAAAGTTATATTAAAATTAAAAAAAAAAAAATTTATTTAAAAATTGAGAAAAATATAAATTAAATATAATTAATATAAATAAAAAATTAAATAAAATTAAAATTACAAATAAAAAATGGGAAAAATAAATTAATAAACGACAATGCAATGCGACACTTCTGTGAATATTACATATTTAGTAAATCAGCAGTTACATTAGAATTATTCAGCAGAATGCCAATTGCATAAAATATAGTGAGTCTCATATAGGGCATAAAACCGCTTGAAAGCAAAGCGCAAGTGCCGAACGTAAGCACAACGACCATTGTGTAAGGTGTGAAATTTTAAGTGCACTTCAGTAAAAAAAAAACACTTTATAATACTTTTATGACTGATTTTGTCAAAAGGGGTAGTTTTTTAATTTTATTTCTATTTTTAATTTTTAATTTTAATTTCATTGCTTTAGTTACAATTTCGAAAATTCGCTAATATAATTTTTAGCTTACTCAGCACGCTATATAATTCTCGTGTGAGACTCATCTCATGTTTCGTTCATAACCATTTCTTTCACTTTTTCTACGATTTCATCGGATATTGAGGTACTGGAGCGTCCAGCGCCATCTTGGAGAGGCTTTTATTGCTCTTTTACTCATAGTAGACTCACCAAAGGTCTTTACCAAGATTTCGCACAGATTAAGCTAAGCTGCCTCCGTACAGCCGATAAAGTTTTATGAGGCAACTATTTAGGTAGCTTTCGTTGCAGTAGTAGTAGTTCGCCGTCACATGTGTGCTCCACATGGCCCAAGATAAGGTTCATCATTGTCGGCAGATTGATGTGGTTTACCCAACTCTTCACTAAAACTCTTCCAGATTTTAAGAAAGTCGGTCGAAATGCGAATGCAGGAAGTGAATTTTTACGCTTTTGTTGCACCCTAGCAATTTTCCAAGTTCAATAGCAAGCACTCAAAGAGCTTGACGGGCTTATCAGTTTTGTTTTTGTATAGGAAATTTTTCATGACCTAAA